ACGGGCGCGGCGTAGGCGGCCACCAGCTCCACCGCCTCGCTCTGCTGCTCCGACAGCACAGGCAGCGCCTGCCACGGCGGCTTTCGCTCGGGGCTCCCCGCCTCCTCGTCCCGACCGGGCTCCATCCTGCCGGCTCCACTGTGGAGACAGAGACGGAGCGGGGCGTCACGGCGGGTGCGGGAGCCGGGTCCCGGGGCGCACGGCAGAGAGGGAAGCGCTGTGTGCCGCCATGCTGGTTCGCACTTCACTTCTGTCCTCTCCCAACGCCACTGTCTCCGGGACTTGCCTGTCCTGGAGCAGAGACCAGACCCACATGTCCCGGGTCCCAGCGCTCATGGGAAGGAGCCCTGGTGACGCAGGGTGTTAAGTGCTGGAACGCTAACAGCAAGTATTTCAAGTTCACCAAGACGGGCATTTGGTACATAAATGCAGTCAACAGGGGCCAGAGAGACTCAAGAACGAAGGTCTGGTCTCCCCCCAGCCATGGTGGTCTTGCATATCACACGTGTCCCCGCGCTGTGACCCTCTTGGCAGGGCAGCGCCCCATCATGCCCACACATGTGCTTCCTGCCCCTCAGACTGAAGTCCCAGCTTCAGTCCAGAAGGAAAGGAGAGTTCTGATAAAATGCTCACACCTCACCTGTTCCCAAGCCTGATGCCGACCCAGGGGAGGGGACGGTGCAGGGGTACAGGCGGGGGCAATCCAGGGTGCCCCACACCCAAAGCTTATACAACTCAAAACCAGACCCACCAGGAGATACGAGTTAAGAAGAAAGCCAGTGCCTTGATGGGTGTCCACTACCACATGTCCAGCCCTAAGACGCTGGTACAGCTAGTGGCCAAGCTGGTTTTGTGCACTCCAGGAGCCTGTGACAGCAATAGCCCCAGCCCAGCGAGGGGCACTGGGTGGCCAAACTGGGGAGCAGTCTGAGGGAGAGTCTGGTGAGTTTAGCCATGGGTCCACCCTGGACACCTAACTGACAGCACCAGTGTGAGATGGCAGGACACAAGGGACTCTGGTCCCATCTAGGGAGAGTGGGGTGGTGGGGACCGGGCCCGCTGTACCTTCCCAGGCACCTAGCTCAGGAGAGGCCCCTCCCCATGGGGACCATCCAGGTTCTGGAAGCAAGGCAGCGCCCTAGGGCTGATGAAGCCACTTCCCCTCATGGCCCAGGAGTGTCAGGGGGATGTGATCGGGGCCAGACCGTCTTGGGCCTTAAAGTCAGAACCACCAGTGGACCAGTTGCAGGGGCCAGTACCAACAGAAGCTGCCAGGCTGAGGACCAGGTGAGCACCTGAGTGACCCAGAGAGAAGGGGCAGGGACTTGTCCACCCACAGAGAACACATCTCTTGCCCTGCAGAGTTCTGGGGAATCGAAGACAGTCTGACAGCTCACTGGTGTTTTCTGGACCCAGGGCAGCTGAGGGCAGCAGCGGAAAGAGAAACCCAAATGGTTGGAGCTGGGGACAAACCACACTGCAGCCGCCAGCGGGTCCCGAGGCTCGAAATCTCAGGAGACGGCCCGACTATCTCCCGTGGACACACACTACCATCCTTTAGGGGGCTGCAGGACCTGTGACACAGGACTGCACCAGTTCAGGACCCACTGCTGTCAGGCGGGTGGGTGGTCACGAGAGGTCCCAACTCCTCCTGCAGAGCTGCTACTGTCAGGTGCGGGCATGTCGGGTAGACTCCCATGGCCCTACACCCTACCAACGACGGCTCTGAGCCCTGCTCTACCTTGCGCCATCCTCATCATCTATGGACACACTTGAGCCCACGGAGGGACACTCAGGTCCAGTCCCATCTGTGCCGTCACTGTGTCAGCCCACTTGCCCATCAGCTGCCGACAGGACCTACACCACAGGGCTCCCTGGAAGAGGCAGGAAGCGAAAGCGCTGGACCCAGGTGATCCCGTGGGAAGCCGGCCGCCTCGGTGCTCTCGCGCTGACCGATCAGATGCAGGCTGCCAGGTGTTCTCGGCAGGAGCCTCTGCGTCATGGCTACTGTGGACTCCGTGCACGTCCCTCAGCTGGGGTGCCCCACCTGAGGGATGGACAACACTCCAGAGATGCAAAGAGGCATCTTCCCCCAAACTGGGGAACAGGGGAGCTAGGAGACAGGGAGGTGGCACTTTGGAAGCACCTGGTGCCACTGCAGCCATGCCAGGCAGGTCCCACAGGTAGGTGTATGGGCAACAATCAGTTCTCCTCCCTACACCTCCTCCCAGGGTACCCCGGCCAGCCCGGCCACCGCGGCCATGCACACTGCTGTGGCCAAGGCCAGGGACAGCTGTAGGCTTGTCACTGAGTGAACCTCAGATTGAAAACAAAGCAGGCTGCTGTCAGGACAGGCTGGCTGGGCCTGCCAGCTGCTGGGGGATGTTACAGTCAGGGGCAGCTGCCACACGACCCAGTAACACTACCCTGCACCACCGAGGGACCAAAACTCCCTGTGCACACGGAAGCCTGCACACGCATGTTCACAGCAGTGCTGTTCTCCCAAGGCCTGGACGCAAAGCCACACATCCACCCCCAGGATGGCCTGTTGTTCCCACCATCCCACTGGACACAGACAGGGCTGCAGGCCACTCCCTGAAGCTCGAACCACCAGGCCCAGTGAGGGGAGTCTTTTGGGAAGGGACACTCAGGTCCTGTCCCATCTGTGCAAAATGCCCAGGACAGGCAGCCCAGAGCCAGAGGCAGTGGCTAGCAGTGGCCTGAGGCAGAATGGGCGGGTGTTAATTAGGCACCAAAAAGGTTGTTCTAAGTGTGCGTGCGATTCCATTAAAGTGCACAAAGCTCACTTTGCGTCAGTTCTTTACAAACATTTCGTTTCACATTAACTCTTGGCATGATGGATGTTCCGGTACTGGGCCATTAAAAAGATGTGGTGCTGCGGAGGAAAGTCCTGGCAATCTGCTCCAGTTAAATTACCAAATCCACATCACTGGGTCAGCTATCACTCATGGTGACCTTCAGAGAACAAGGAGAACTGGGTTTCCCAAAACTGTCACTATTTACAGGAACAGAAGGTTGCTTCTTTCTCTCAAGGCGTGGCCAGCAGGTTTGAACCGCTGATCTTTTGGTTAGTGACCCAATGCTTAACCCATCAGAGTCGTTCCACGACGATTCACTCGCTTACTATCATTACACTGGACTAGTGGCTTAATTTAAGGAACCGTGCTGCCAACCCAAAGGCACCCAGTTCAAATCCACCAGCTGCTGCCCGGGCCTCCTGGGCAGTCTCCTCCTGTGCAATTTGACATCCTCTGAAAAGCCGCCAGAGGGTCAGTTGTGAGGGCGGTTCCAACTCAACAGAAAACACCACCACAGCTGACTCTCCAGCAGGTTTTCAGAGGACGTAAACTGCATGGAAGGAGACTGCCCATCTTTCTCCCAAGGAACATTTGGTGGATTTGAACTGCCTGCCTCTGTCTTGGCAGCACAGTACCCTCCCTCCCTCCCTCCCATGAAGGTTCCTGTGTAGATGGAGGGGCCTGTACACCGCTAGGTATGCTTTAAGAGGGCAACGCTGGTGCATGGGAATCCCCTCTTCACACGGTGTCACTGAGAGGGAAAACCCTGGGGCTGGGGAAGGGGGCTAGGATGCTAATATCCCTGGGCCTCAACCCTCCCCGTCCCACAGAGGATCGGCCCTAGGTGGGTATCTGTACCTGAGACCCCCTCGGGGAGGGCCCGGCCTCTCTCAAGCCAAGGTCCTTGGTCCACCCCAGAGGTGTGTCCAGTCAATTCAGAATCCTAGTATCCAGGCAGGGCAGATGAGAACCACCTAGGGTTTTCCTTCTTTTTAATTCTTTTCTTTTTGTGTGTGTGTACCATCAAATCTGATCTGCCTGGTACAGGAGGAGATTGCCCCTCCTTCTCCAGCAGAGCATCTGGTGGATCCCCTAGAGTTCTAAACAAAACCTTTGCAGGAGCAAATTGCCAGTTCTTCCTTTTGGGGAGTAACAGTGGTTTCAAACCCCGAATCTTTCTATCACACTGACTCGGGGACTCTCGCCTTTCAACATGGAATCCACACTCCAGAACCCACCCAGAACAGGCTCAGGCACATCAGGGTAACCGCCTCAGGTGCTGTTGCGAGGGATGGGGAACTTTCTGGAACCCAAGAGAGAAGCTGCTCAAACACATCACAGCATTCAGAGCTTGAGTCAGGGCGTCTGTGGTCCTTTGCTTCCCCTCCTGCACAGAACTTGGGGCCTCCACTCTAGGGCTCCCTAACCTAATCCCCCCCATGAGAGTTCTGGGTTCAGCTGTCTGCAGTTACAACCAAATAACACAGAAGCCAAACTGGAGGCTGAGAACTGAGATGGGAGGGGGTGTCATGATGATTTTGGGAATGGATTGCCAGGCCTCTCCTCCCCTCAACAATGAATGGGTTCAAAACGGCCGTCTTTCTTTTGGGTAGTAATCAATCACAAATCCCTGATGCTGCCCAGGGATGGAGTACAGCCTCCCCAAAACGCCGACACTCCCGTCTGGAGGGACCTGTCAAACAGGGCATGGAAAGGGCCCCAGAGCAAGTCACGGTGACGTCTGGGGGCGGGGCGAAGCCACATCCTCACGCTGCTGCCATTTCATTCTGTCGTTGGAGGTCACCAGCCAGGGCAGGGGACTGCCCTGCCAGCCAAGCTCCTTTTGCATCTGCGGCAGCCCAGGAAGATCCCAGTGAGCCAGGGGGACAGGACCCCCGACAATGCATGCCCTGACTGGTCAGGGACACTGCCTCCATGGCACCCACTGTCTAAGCACCCAGATGGGCGTGTACACAGCTTCTGCGAGCTGGACTGTGGGCCGGGTCCCAACAGGAGCGGGGTCAAGTGGTAGGAAGGGACGGGAAGCGGTGTGTGTTCTGCTCGGCCGTGGGGGCACGCAGCTGACCTCAGACTTATCAGGAAGAGGAGGTGCCAGGCCAGAGGCTGAGTCTGCAGACTTATGTCCAGGGAGGACCCGAGTTCTTTGCTGGGCCACCTGGCTGCGTGGATCGGGGTTCACAGCTCACACGACTCGACCACCACTCAACACAGACAGACACCCTCTGGGCCAGCTTCCCCGAGTGTCAGTGTGGACGACGTGGGACCCATCCCTGCCTCAGAGGCTC